CTCAGAAGGCTTGCAGATAGCTGCCTGAAGCCTGCATTCGCTCTATAGGACGCACACACATGTCCCCTTTCATTTTTGGAGAGCGAGAAGTGCATCCTATAGAGCGAAAAATACGGTACATGCATTAAATAATACAAGTGATGTAGACGATTTTGTTGAAATATGGCATCCTTGTATAAAACACTTTACTGATGATCCTGAATATTGGCAACTGCTGAAATCACAGATTAGACTTTGGCAAATTTCGCTAGATTGATCTGTCCTGTAGCAGGGAGGGGGCGAGCTGGGATTTTGTTTTTGCATCCCTTTCTCTCTCTCTTTTTGTAATTGTTATATATTGGAAGTCAATAAAACTATATTAAAAAGCAAGCAAGGAAACAAAAAATATCCCTCCCACAGCCTTAAAGACAGAGCATTGCCATCATGCCTAGTAGCCACAGAAAGCCTCTTCCTATTCATCTAATCCTCTTTTGAAGGCCTCCAAGTTGGGGACCATCAGTCGCACCTGTGGCAGCAAGCTTGCTTCAAAATTAGTGTGTCTAGAATTGCAGCCCTAAGGAGAACAGCAGCCCCCATCTTCATAGCATTTCTCAGGATTGTATGCCCCTCTTTATAATTATTTTCTCTGACCACTCCGATGCTGGGGTTGTTGTGGGTTGGCATGCAATGAGGAAGAATAGCTGAAGGGCATATGATGCAATTTGCCTGCATGGGCCCATATGACAGAGTGAAGTGAATGCCTCTGATTTGTAGCATAAGGCTAATGGTGAGTTATTTGATTTATTGTTGTCTTTTTATGGCCGGGGAGCAGGGAGAGAGGTGTTCGTTGGTTTTCCTGGCTCAGGTCAGGTGCCAAAATAACTTGACTGGCCTTGACTGGCTACCGAGCAGATAGGCACTATATCACCAAAACAGCGGGTTGCATAGATGGAACTTCATGTTGATAAACAGCAAGTGTGAAGCTGGAATAAAACACTCTTCTGTATTTGTGCTGTCAGATGCCTTGGTCTGAGGATTTTCGGCCACACTGTGTTGGTTGTGCCTCTAAGCAACAAAGCATGCACACACAAATACCAAAAGAAAATGTAGACACACACACACACATTTACTTTTTATTGCAGTAAATTGCAATGTGTTTATAGTGGTGCATGTTGTGCACATGAATTATAGCACCCCAGCAGAATTTCTGAAAATGAAAATTACTGGATACTGCCCTGAGTCTAACTTCTCCAACCTGATGCCCTCCAGGTTTTTGGGACTACCGCTCTCATCATCCGTGACCATTGGTCATGCTGGCTGAAGCTGATGGGAGTTGAAGCAATATCTAGAGGGCAACAGGTTGAAGAAGGCTGATCTAGCTCATTGTAAGGCAGGTCCATGGGTCCAGTTAGCATCTCCACCCCCATCATTCTGCCCGGACGCTGAGGTCCAGCGCTGAGGGCCTTCTGGCGGTTCCCTCATTGCGAGAAGCAAAGCTACAGGGAACCAGGCAGAGGGCCTTCTCGGTAGTGGCGCCCGCCCTGTGGAACGCCCTCCCATCAGATGTCAAAGAGATAAACAACTACCTGACATTCAGAAGACATCTTAAGTTTTTAATGTGTGACATCTTAGTGTATTTTTGGTCTTTGTGGAAGCCGCCCAGAGTGGCTGGGGAAACCCAGCCAGATGGGCGGGGTACAAATAATAAATTATTATATTATTATTATTATTATTGCTGTTGTTGTTGTTTCAGATGTGTTATTTCCTTTTTTGAAGAAAACAAATAATTTCAGTAACAGATGAACTTCTGGTCCTCTCCACGCTATGAATCCTGCAGCCTATCTTGGTTTTCCTAGTCTGGTCTCCTTTGGACCACATATCCGAAAGGGACCAGGCTAGGAGCACTGCAAGCTATGAATTTTGCATGGCTGTCTTCCCAGGACACTTTCCTAGCTGCGCGCCACAGCAGGAAAAGGACCATAGCTCATCTTTGCAGGCAAGAAGCTCCAGGTTCCAGGCATTTCCAGTTTGATGGGCAAATAGCGGGTTATGGAAGGTCCTCCTCTAGGGACCCTGGGAAGCAGCTGCCAGTCAAAAGTGCCTTGTACTATGCTAGATGGACCAATTCTCTAAGGTAGCTTCATATCTCAATATGAACATGGGAAGCTATCTCCAAGCTCTTGGGCAAGCAGTAGGGTGACACCCCAGGATGCTTATTCACTTTGATCTGCTCTCTTTCTGTGGCCTCCTTTCAGACTGTTCCTTCCAGTGCCATTCTACTGGGTTATTTGAATTGGGGTTACAAAAAAAGGATAACCTTTGTTATCCGATGGAGCGTCTCTACCTCCATCGTTCTGTCCAGACACTGAGGTCCAGTGCCGAGGGCCTTCTGGCGGTTCCCTCGCTGCGAGAAGCCAAGTTACAGGGAACCAGGCAGAGGGCCTTCTCGGTAGTGGCGCCCGCCCTGTGGAACGCCCTCCCACCAGATGTCAAAGAGAAAAATAACTACCAAACTTTTAGAAGACATCTAAAGGCAGCCCTGTTTAGGGAAGCTTTTAATGTTTAATAGGTTATTGTATTTTAATATTTTGTTGGAAGCCGCCCAGAGTGGATGGGGGGACCCAGCCAGATGGGCGGAGTATAAATAATAAATTATTACTGTATTATTATTACTACTACTATTATTATTATTACCTTGCATTGCTTACATAAAAAAGCAATGCAAGGCGATAAGGATTATTTTTTCAACCTTTTTTTAACGGGGTGAGGGGAAGAGAGAATGAAGATACTAGACCGAATTGGCAATGCCTTCACCACTCCATTAACAATTATCGTCCTGGCCGTATGGTATTTTGTTTGTTTTCTGATCCTAATTAATCATCTTATTTTTGAGTTAAAATAATTAAAGCTAAATCCTCTCTCTTCATTTTAATCCTTCCTTTGCTAAGCCGCGCACTGTTGTGCCATTCTGTCTATCCCATGGAAGTTGCTTGGAGCCATTTTCCTGCCTCGCAATCATGTTGTCTCTTGGAAAGTTATAAACTCTGAGAGATGAAAACACCTTCTTTAAAAAAAAGAAGGAAGGAAGGCAGTGTTAATAAGCAGCTCCCTAATCACAGCAGATGTATGCCTAGATCCGTGATCATAGGACACCAAATGTCAATGTTCCTTGCCGAAGCAAGCACTGGAAGTTAAATGCTTTAATTGGGATTTACTTGCTTTGTTTTGTTTCAAACCTAAATGAATCATGGAGCTAAAAGGTATATTGTGCAAGCTTGAATAAAAGTCATTTGCCAAAAGTCTGTGCAGATTTCAAAGTAATTAAAACTCAGGGACTGCCTACTTGGCACTATCTTCTTAATTGATAATCAAAATGAGCAGATCAAATAAGTATGCTTTGAACACAGCTGATAATTGCCAGCAATTCCCTTTGAAATTCTTGGATCAGTTGGATTCCGTCATTAAACTGGTTGTTTGCAAATTCGCTACTAGTTGATGCAAATCCACAAAGAAAACCCTTGCATAATACAACGATGACACTGGGTCTCATTAAATAACATAATAAGTTTTAGGATGAGATGAGAGGGAAATAAGTTGCTTAGAATTTGTGCTGCCTTTTTCTTTTCTTTCTTTTTTTTGCCAAATCAAGGCGAATGAGAGTGTGTAAAGGTAAAGAGCAAGACTCTGTTCATTGCACTGGACAATGTTGTTGTAGAAGTCAACCAAAGATTTAAAACCCCTTTAAAAGCAATGGGTGTTGTCCATTGTCACCCAAGTTGCATGATGGGACTTCCTTTTCCTCTCTTCTCCTGCATCTCCTTGTTTCATCACAAATCAACTCCAAACCTCCAGAGTACATTTTGGGGTCAGAGAATGGATATCTGTTCCATTCTGCTGGCAAACACTAAACTATACCTTACAATGTGTTCCTGTAAGGTGGGGTGGTTTGCAGAACGAGATACATCAAAAACTTAATCGTAATACAGTGTAATGTGTGCATACTTTCATTTCTTTGCAACAGTTTTTTTTTTTAAAGAGTATATTACCCAACTATTCCTGTCCAGAAAGACAGATGTAGTTACAGTGGTACCTCGGGTTACAGACGCTTCAGGTTACAGACTCCACTAACCCAGAAATAGTACCTCAGGTTATGAACTTTGCTTCAGGATGAGAACAGAAATTGCGCGGCGGCAGCGCAGCAGCAGCAGGAGGCCCCATTAGCTAAAATGGTACCTCAGGTTAAGAATGGACCTCCAGAACAAATTAAGTTCTCAACTCGAGGTACCACTGTATTCTAAACTCCAGAACTCCACGCTGTTTCTTTATTGGAATACGTAGTTTACTGCCATTGGGACAACACACATTAATTAACTACTGAGTGGCACCTAAAGGTGTTGAAGGGTTCTTTTCTGAACCAAATGCCTTACTAAGGTCCAGTGTGTAAGGGACCTGGACTGCAGAGAAAACTTTCTCATGTAAGAAGAGTTCCATCACTACCCCTCCAGCCCACTGGGGTCTAGTTTGAATGCATTTCACCATATGCTCTGTTCCATGTACATGCCAATAGCATCTCCACCTGGGCAGCTAATTATTGGTGTACTAATGCTACACATATATGGGGTGGTAATAGCCACCAACTCAAATGGCTTTTAAAAAGCATTTGACGAATTCAATGTGGTCAAGGCTATCAGTGGCTATCAGTCACGATGGCCATATTCTACTTCTACTGTCAGAGGCATTATGCCTCTGAATACCAGTCTCTGGGAACTGCTGGTGGGCTGTCAGGAGTCCAGGTTCCCTGCTTGATAACACAGTAAGCATAGGTACCGTATTTTTTGCACCATAACACTCACTTTTTCCCTCCTAGAAAGTAAGGGGAAATGTCTGTGCGTGTTATGGAGTGAATGCCTACGGGTGGCGGGGGGGATCTGCTGCAGTTGTGAGCAGAGGATCCATGGTTCCCCTTCCTTCCCTCCTCCATGGCTCGCTTTGAAACAGCAAAGCGGGAGAAGAGCCGCTGAGTGGGGAGGAGAGAGGGACAGAGAGCCTGCTTCTTTAAAGGAGCAAAGCGGGAGAGGAGAGGAGTCCGGTTGGCTCCTTTAAAGCAAGCAGGCTCTCTGTCCCTCTCTCCTCCCCACTCGCTAAATAGCATTATTAGCAGCATCCTTCTCCACACACTCCATGCGTGCTCCTTGTCCCTTGAGTGCTTTTCCTTCCCTCCCCACTTAAAACGTAGTTACAAAGCACGGATCCACATGGATCCTCAGGATTTTTGCACTGGGTCACCCCAAATTCACCATCAGATCACATAGCATGCCCATGGCTACATCTTGCACCAAAAAAATCATGCACCCACTGTTGCCTGGGGTCGCAGTGGTGCAAAAATGTGGTTACAAAGCATGGATCCACATGGATCCTCAGGATTTTTGCATTGGGCTACTCCAAGCTCACTGTCAGATCACATGTCTGTGGCCACAGCATGAACCACAAAAATCATACATCCAGTGTTTCGTTTAGAATATTTTTTTCTTGTTTTCCTCCTCTAAAAACTACGTGCGTGTTATGGTCTGGTGCGTGTTATAGAGCGAAAAATACGGTAATTAAAAAGGAGGATTTATTGCAAAAACAAACAGATAGCTCCGGACGGCTCTAACAAAGCCTCCGGCATCATTACTCAAGATGACCCTTCTGAAGACTTCTTCTGGTGTTGACAGAAGATATTGAACTTATGACCCTTACATCTCTTGTTTTGCTTCCTATCTAGCAGCCCTCCCATTCGCTGACTCTTCAGACTTAGTGGATCAGCTCCAACCTCTTCCTATTCTGAGAGGCTGTCTCTGAATTTGTTTGTGCCTAATTGTGCCTCCTGTGAGCTTTGGCTGTGTTCTAGCCTGCTCTCAGCTACTGCTTTATCAGCCTGCCCATCAAGGTCAGGAAGAGCCGAAGCCTTCAGCTGTCTGCTCTCCCCTGCCTGACTAACATCTAAGCCTCTCTGTTCCTGGCTTCTTTCTGCAGTTGGCTGCAAACCTTCGCTTGGAGCTGGCTCATTCCTGACATGGTCAGAGTGCTGTTGTGCTTATGTCTAGTTTGCAGGCTTCCCATAGGCATCTGATCACCCCAACCAGAGCAGGTTATGAGACCAGATAGGCCAATGACCAGATCCAATAGACTTGTCTTACATTCTTAAGTGTTTGAATGTGACAGTGGTGCACTGAGCACTTATGCAGGTAAACACTTTCTCCACTGCTTGCATCCCATATAAACCGGGCCTGAGATTTGGGGTGTTTGCTTTTTTCATTCCTTTCCCCCATCCCATGCAATACAAAGGATTGGCTTAAGTGCATGTGTCCTACTAAGCGGAGTATTCCCTCCAAGAAAATAACGCATGAACAGAGCCAGAATGTTCTTATTAATTGCTTTTGAATGCTGCAGTTGGTGTTTTGTGCTTCAGGTAGTGCTGGGATAATTGAAACAGCTGGGGGTGGGGGAGGAATCAAGTAGGATTCAAGGTGGTCTGCAAAGCTCTGGAGACAGATGTGCATATAAATGCACATTAAAAATAAACCCAAATAAATAAATACCGAGTTACTCGCTCTTATTTACTTCTTGCGATCCAGTGGGACAGAACTCATTCCCACAAGCTTAGATGCTTGCATTTTCTATTATTACTTAAGACTTTTAAAGTGGGGGGAGGGGAATCTGGCTGAAGCTTATGTGATGTTTCAAAGTAAAGAGATGAGTAGAATTTGCATAATAGAATCACAAAAATGGAAAGCATGGAACATTTGATATTTAAAATAGTCTCATCTAAAGCTTTTAGCACAGGTAGGAAAGGTTAATAAAAATCCATCTGTACAGCATATAAATTATTCCAGACTTTAAAATGTAAAACAAAATTATGTCCAATCCATCTTCCTGCCTTCTCTTACAAACATATGTCTCCTTAACAAACCTTTCCTACTTAAACACCTACTTGAAAAATTAAAATGAAATGCATCACGCTTCTGACTTGTGTGAGCTATAATCCAGTGTCCAGTCACTTAGCTCTAGGACTTGGCCCTAGACCAGCGGTCGGCAAAGTTTTTGTGGCTTGGGCCGGTTCACGGTCCTGCAGACGCCGCGGTGGGCCAAAGTGTGTGTGTGTCTGTGTGTGTGCACGCGCACGCACGCATGCACGCACACAAATGCAAACACTATTTCTGGTGCTACTTCTGGTGCAGAGGAGGCGTGCGCAGCTTCTCATTGGCTGCAGGAGCTTCCTGCAACCAATGGGAAGCCGGCCAGCATCGCGGAAGGCGGTCCCCGCTCTTCTCCGCCTGGTTTAGCGTGGCACACAGGAGCCAACTGAGCAGGCGGCAGGGGTCCATGGGCCAGTTAAACAACCCCTTCCCTAGACCAATGGCATAAGGGCACAGTGGAAGGTGCCATTAAGCATTTGCACCTTGTCTTGCCCGTGACAGTGAGTAACCAAAGCCAACCCTTCCATACTTGGGAAGTGAACGCATGGGAGGGTCTGAGGGGTCAAAGACATGACTTGCAGCCACCATCACAGAAATGAAATGCTACAGAATGATGTTGGAGTACCTATGAGGAAACAGTTGAAGTGCTGTACTGAAATCAGGAGCCAAAGATCCGTTTAGTATTTTGAGATTAAAACAGTGATGGTGAGGTTAAAAAGAATTATTAGGGCTAGGCAGATCTGCCAATTTTGGTTCTTTTAGTTTCTCATGTTCCTGATTCTGGAATTCAGTCCCCCTACATTCGTTTGCAATAATAATAATAATAATAATAATAATAATAATAATAATAATAATAGAATCCTTACAAAAACTCATCAGCATTTAGTACAAACTTCTCCTAATAGACACATTTTTGTATGCCATTTTGATTAATATACACAATTTTGCAAGCGGTTCCCCCTAATACAGTGGTACCTGGGGTTAAGTATTTAATTCGTTCCAGAGGTCCATTCTTAACCTGAAACTGTTCTTAACCTGAAGCACCACTTTAGCTAATGGGGCCTCCTGCTCCTGCTGCGCTGCCGGACCATGATTTCTGTTCTCATCCTGAAGCAAAGTTCTTAACCCAAGGTACTATTTCTGGGTTAGCAGAATCTGTAACCTGAAGCGTATGTAACCCGAGGTACCACTGTATCCCTTTTTGTATGTTATTGTGAGGAATATATTCATCTGACTGCAGATGTCCCTCTAATAAATGCATGTTGGGTTGTAGAACTGCTTTGCAAAATTCGAAGAAGTGCAGAAAGGAATGGAAGCATGGGGGGAAACTGGTTGCTTTGTCAAAAGCAGGCAAAGGTACCCACCAGTCCAAAACACTACATCTACAGATTCTAGATGCACAGCTGAAAATTAGCACTGGCAGCCACCCGGTTAAAAGCAATCACAAATTGGCTTAACATATGTTTTTCATCCATTCATCCATCAGTTGCATTTGCATCTGAGTAAAACTAAATGTTCTGAAGCAATGAGTGTTGTTTTCTTTGTTTTTAGATCTTGCATCCATGTGTTAACAGCAGGCATCGACTTAGAAAAAGACACTCCCTCCTATCACAGGTATATTTTTAGTCAGTTAAACATTGGTTAATGGATTGACCTAACAAATTAAGAGAATAATATTGTGCTGTTGTTGTTTAGTCGTTTAGTCGTGTCCGACTCTTTGTGACCCCATGGACCAGAGCACGCCAGGCACTCCTGTCTTCCACTGCCTCCCACAGTTTGGTGCTGGTAGCTTCGAGAACACTGTCCAACCATCTCGTCCTCTGCTGTCCCCTTCTTGTGCCCTCCATCTTTCCCAACATCAGGGTCTTTTCCAAGGAGTCTTCTCTTCTCATGAGGTGGCCAAAGTATTGGAGCCTCAGCTTCAGGATCTGTCCGTCCAGTGAGCACTCAGGGCTGATTTCCTTAAGAATGGATAGGTTTGATCTTCTTGCAGTCCATGGGACTCTCAAGAGTCTCCTCCAGCACTATAATTCAGAAGCATCAATTCTTCGGCGATCAGCCTTCTTTATGGTCCAGCTCTCACTTCCATATTGGGAAAACCATGGCTTTAACTATACGGACCTTTGTTGGCAAGGTGATACTACTGAAAAATCTTTGTGTCTGGCCTTCCTGCTTGCACAGACGACCGTTGCAACCATCATCTCCCCCAAGCAGTAGGAGCCTACAGCTGTTGAAACAAGCCAGGCCCCTTTAAAAATACGAGCTCAGTTGGTGCAGCATGAGACTGTTAACCTCTGAATTGCAGGTTTGAGCCCCATGCTGGGGAGTCCTGCATTGCAGGGGGTTGAACTATATGTCCCTTGTGGTCCCTTCCAACTCTACAATTCTATGATTCTACTTGGAGGATGGAGCTAACCACCCAGACTCAACCTGGAGTTAATTGTTGCTTAAGCAACATCCTAAACCTACGCCAATCTGAGTCCCACGTAGAGTTTCCCATTCCAAATGCCTCACCTGCCTCCTAGCACCATCATCAGAAGCAGAACAACAGCTGAGGCACAGCTACAGTGGTACCTCGGGTTAAGTACTTAATTCGTACCGGAGGTCCATTCTTAAGCTGAAACTGTTCTTAACCTGAAGCACCACTTTAGCTAATGGGGCCTCCTGCTCCTGTCACGCTGCTGGAGCACAATTTCTGTTCTCATCCTGAAGCAAAGTTCTTAAACCGAGGTACTATTTCTGGGTTAGCAGAGGCTGTAACCTGAAGTGTATGTAACCTGAAGCGTCTGTAACCCGAGGTACCACTGTACTAGCCATTGAAGCACCTTTTTTGGTTTTATCCAATGGATTGCAGTACATTCCAAAAGGTTAGCTAAACTTGTAAATAAGCCTCATTTCACGATGCAGGTTAGGCAAATGATCCATGCAGTCATTTCTGCAGATGGTGGGTCAGTTCCCACCACTTGTAGCTACAGTTTGCACCAGCGTAACTTGGAATCCTTGGCTTTATTGAGAAGATATAAGTAGAGAATGAGATATAAAACATGGATGATTATGATTGAAGTACATTCTCCCCCAGGGGATCGTGTCACAACTGATGGTTTCATTTATTTTTTGTGTCTCTTTAATGAAAATTCACTCTGCTGGATATTTAGCTAGCCCAAGGAAACTTTTCCATT